CATCTGTTTCCAAAGAAAACAGTGGGTTAAAATATTAAATACTGAAATACTGATTTGGATAGTGCTCTGGAAGCCTTGGGTTTGTGGGATAGAATTCTGTGTATGCTGGTGCATCTCCGGCCAAAGCTGACCTCGCCTTTGACAGCCTCCAGGCTGGATCTGTCGGGGGTGTGGTACGACACTCGTGGGTGACCGTCTGCTGCCGGTCCGGTCGGCTCACTGAAGTGACAGCGGGACCAGGTGCGGCCCAAGTAGAGTTCCCTCCTCCGGCAGGTGCTGAGGTGACACACAGCATCACCGCTGGCATCATCATTTTAGAAAATAAATGTTAAAAAGTCATCTGGTTTTATTTTTTTAAGATTTTATAGCAAAGTAGATATGAAAACAAATTGAAAGAGAGAAAACAGGCAACTTTGGGAGACAGTTGACCTCTAAAGTGTATTTGTAGGAATCTGATTACAGCTCAGAGAGACACACTGTTAATAAAGATGGTTAGCAGTTATGAAGAATGACAGAAGCTTGGAATTGAGTTGTTTTTCAGATCTGGATTTGTTAAAGAGACTACATTTTATTCTGAGAACTGATATTAGAATATTGTCATTTAAGGTAAAATTTAAAATGAAAAATTTTAATAGAAAACAATACATCTGAGAAATACTTCCTTTATAATGCATTTTCTAATAGCTGTATCACATGGCAAGAGAAATGAGTGAATTATTATACATTGTTAATCATCAGCAATGTGTTCGCTGCAGTCAGTTTGTATTGTAAAAGGAGAGCAGAAATCCTGACTACTGGCTTAACATCTAATGAAACCTTTAGCACAGAATAAAATTGGAGGCTCTGCATTGTGCCCTAGGAATCAGAGCTGAAGATTTCACTCACGTGGCTGTGTTGTGTGTCTGCTTTTAACGTGGCAGATGTCTTATGAGACCACCGGATCCCAGGAAGGATGCATTGTCCCAACCTGTTGAAAGTCGGAATTCTCCTTTTAGTGCCAGCCATTCTCATATCCATCCATCTGTTCACACATCTGTTCATCCATCCGTCCTTCCATCTGTCCATCCATCCATCCTCCCCTCCCTCTGTGCCCTCTCTCCCTCCTTTTCTCCCCTCCCCTCACTCAGGGTACTTATTGGTGCAGATACAAGGAAAGGATCTTCTTTACACACCTGCGCTGACCGTGAATGACCTCTGTGTTCCCAAGAGCTTTAGGAGCTGTGGCACTAACTGTCCTCACGTGGTGTCCATAGCCTGCTGAGTGGAGAGTGGTGTAAGGACAGCTGTTTCCATATTTTTCTTTCTCTCAAGTTACCTCATTCTTGCCATTTATCCTGGTCGAACTAAAAAGATGGGTAGGTAGTTCCCTTGAAATATAAAGCTCGGGCCCACATGAAAGAAGTTTTTGAGACATAATGGTAGGAGAGGCAGCAGCGAAACCAGCAGCTCTGAACCATGTCCTCGAGGGTCAGTGTGTTGTAGTGGCTCAGGAGGGGGGCTCTGAGGACTGCTACTCTCAGCCACATTTCCACAGAAATGTTTTCATCTCTCTTTGACCAATCAATTCAACTTACAGGAAACTATTCCGTGAAAATAATCAGAAACAGCAGTAATAATTTATGTTTATCACCATGGTAGCTTAAGCCCTGAAAAGTTAGAAACAGTCTGGATGTGCATCTTGATTCTTTCGCTGGAGTTGTTGCAGTGGGCCTGCCAGTGTCCTGAGAAAAATACTTGGATGTATTTCACTGCCTGCCTTTTCGATGAATATTAGTATTAATATTGTTTTTATTACATTGATACTGTAACAAAATAGAATGATAATCACATGTGATAGGATCCATCTAAAGCCCCCAGTAATTTTAAAGCCCCATTAAACTGGGTTTTTCGCAATTGTTTTCGATCGATATATTTTTTCCAAGTGTCGATTTTACTTCACCAGTTCCTTTTTGCTGAGTGTGTTTTTGGATAACTATTCTGTCTCTCACTTTTTTTTAAATTATTGTTCCAAATTCTCCAGATTTATATTTTATCTTTCCCTCAACATGTGTCCTTCACTATTTTAAGTCTTATTTCCATACAAAGTAATTAAATTGTTTAAATGTCTCTTGCAGCTGAGATTTAATTTACCTTCTTAGGTATCTTGTCTTTGTTACTTTTGCCTCATTGCGGCTTTTTCCAGCAGCAGGAATGGAGGCCGTCAATAAAAATCAGTTGCCGACACAATGCCTGTACAGAGAGGGTTTATCGTAACGCGTGTTGGAGATGTCTCTGGAACCTTCTTCCTGAATGGAAGGTGCCGTGGCTTGTGTTTCATGGCTTTCTGATGTTAGCCTGTCATCTCACTTAGCGTTTCCCCAAAGTGAAAACAGTGCATCAGGGCGGCGTAACAGGCAGTGCAGGTGGATACGGAGGCAGGGCCTCGCCCTGGCAGAGCCGTCCAAGGAAAGTGTCTGTCTGCCCCAGGAGCTGGGAGGCCGTGGTGCTGGTCTCCACCTCTCTTGTGTCTTCCTGCCACCTAATAATCCCCAGTGCAGGCTGGAATGTGACAGAAAGAATTTCAGACTTGTGTGCACACCTGCATGCGCGCGCGCGCACACACACACACACACACACACACACACACTCACGAAACTGCCGGGTGGGGAATCAAGGGCCCTAGGAGTGAGTAGTATTGACTTGTGGTGATAAAAGCACATTTTGACACATTTCAAATCATAAATAACTCATGGACTTTTAACTTGCATGATTAATAGCTCAATTCAGAGTAAATGCTTATATACAACTTAAATTACCTCTTTCATGGAGTTCATAGTATTATATGAATTACACTGTGAATAGTCCTTTCTTGCTCTTGTGTTTTTTTTTTCTGTGTGAATGGGGAAGGGCCACATACCTGGTCAGGGTTGTTCTGGTCTCCTCTCCTCATCCTCCTCTTAAAGCTAGGGCACACTGGACAGACGCAGGTCCTCAGCTGTAGACTGGAATACCACCCTGCCCTTCCCTGAGCTAACGCAGGCATCGGCCGCGTGTGTGCTGAGTCTGGCCGGCCTAGCGCTTCGTCATACATACCTTGGCATTGACCTGGGTGCGCGTCCTGCTGTAGACTCTGGGAAGCACGGCCACCTCCTCTTAGATGCCGATGTTCGTGGGAAAGGGTTAAAGAAATCGTCCAGAAAAATTCACTGACATCTGAACGTAGAAATCTTAAAAAGAATCGAAACTCCTGGGATTGGATTTCAAGTCTGGTCTTAGGTATTTGGCAGAGCGATAAAGTAGTGAATAAAAAAAGTGAAAGCAATGTTATGTAAAATTTGTGGGCTTATTTTTTTCCCTGTATGTCTGCTTTCTTTACAGGGCAGTAAGAAATAAATCCCTTAGGGACCAGTAACGTGGTTTGCATTTCAGTTTTCTATTCTAGCAAAATATATATTAGCTTAGTGTGTCGGATAAAAGTAATGAGGAGACAAATCGTCACCCAGGGGTTTCCTTATTGATGAGAAATAGTCCTCCTGTGTTCTCTAGGGTTTTTTTAAAAATCCATTAAATTTAAAGTAATGCTATTTCAAGATTACTATGGCAATAACAAAATTTAAATTTCAAAAAAAGAACTGATATGAGGGGCTGGAAGCCTTTTGTATTGAGCAAAACTAATTTGAAAAATATATGAATTCCTCGATTAAAAGTGATAATATTATGTGTTTTCCCTGTGTGTTTAGTCCTTATAATCAAAGTTCCTCTACTATCTTAAGGATATTCATTGCTATTTGTATAATTTACTTGGTTTATTTTGTTATTATCTTTTTAAGTGTCTATTACAAGCTTTTTTGGAAGCACTTAAGTTCACTACTTCATATTCACTGAAAGCAATCTAGCTAAAATTGGAGGTTTGTAAGTATAATTCATAAAATTTGAGCCCAGGGAATCTAAAAAAACTTCTTCCCTCTGCCCATTTGTATTCTCAACAACTGATCGCATGACTTCTGTGAGAGGTTGTCTTGTCAGTAGCTGAGGTCACAAAGAAAATGAGACACAGGCCTTGGGATCTGCATTCTGGTAAAGGTAGCTAGTAAGTGCACTGTAGTGTATATAAGCTACAGTGTAGTCAGGGTTACGTGCATGTGAAAGAAGTTCACTTATACAAGGTCAGTGGGCCCACCGTGAGGAGAATGATAGACCTCACCGTGGAAGGGGTACAGAGAAGGTCACACTTCAGTGCTTAGTTCAGCTATTGCAAGGCGAGTAGGTACTTTCCAGATGTACGGGAGTTGGTAATAGGTGGGAGTTTGGGTTCCATTCTCGAAATCAGTGCCGCGTGAGCAGAGATGTGAAGGGGCACGTTGCAGCCGAGCCCTGGAAGTGGTCTGGTCAGACTGGAGCAGTGTGGGGGCAGCACTGCTCTGCAGAGGAGGCAGGCACCTGCTGGAGAGAAGACCTGCCCATTGACCTTGTATTCTATGTAGAAAGCAGTAGGGAGCGATACTGCCTCAGATTGACGTAGTAGAGCCCTATGGAAGAAACCTCTCCTGGAAGAGGCCTCTTCTGGAAGGCAGGAAAGGTGAGAGACAGGCAGGGCAGTCAGAGGCGCCTGAGCCCAGGATGTAAATGTAAGGGCAGGGAACATGGAGAAAGAGGACCAGAATGTGCGACCTTGAACGTGTGACCCGCTGGACGTGGGGAGGGAGAGGGGAGCTGGGGCTCCCAGGCTTCCGGTCCAGCCAGCTGGGCACCGTTGGCACCATTCCCCTGTGTCAGGTTTTGGCCTGGGCTGGGGAAGCTTTAGTGTCCAGAGGTGGTGTCAGCTAATGAAACTAATCTGCAGATGCCTTTTACCGTGTATATTTTTCATTCATGGTTGAAGGAAATTGTTTCTTTTGAACTTTTCCCCCTACATTTGAAACGTTGATCCTATTTAATGTTTTATATATTCGTTGGCCTTGCTCTTTATTCTGATTGAAGACCACTTGTCTCAGTGACCCTGTTTTTGTTTCTGTTTCCAGGCGGTATGAGGCCCACCCAGTTTGTGCGGACCTGCAGGCCAAGATCCTCCAGTGCTACCGCCAGAACGCCCAGCAGACCCTCAGCTGCTCTGCTCTGGCCGACCAGTACATGCGCTGCGTCAACCAGGCCAAGCAGGTGGGTGTGCGGGCCGTGTGTGGGCCGAGCCAGGGAGAGCAAGCCCGGCATCATGGGACAGTGGTGGTGACCCAGTGGGCCAACGTGTGTGGAACAAGCTGTATAACCCAAACTCGTCCCCCTCGTCAAGTATTGCTGTAACAGGTTGTCTAGGTTATAATCAACTTCCGTCCAGAGGGTTGTAAGGAGAGCCCGTGTTCTCCTTGTGTTCAACTCATTACTCGCAGAAGGAAAACAAAAAGAGATTCTTAGCAAAATAATACTTTTCCGAGTTGTTCCGAGCTTTTGGCCTCTACTCTGTAATTGTGTCCTCAAGGTCATTGCTCCCTATTTCTGGACCAATACTCAAAGCCAGCAAAGAAGAAAGATACATGCTAAGGGCCCAACAGCTTCAAGTCCATAAGCCGCAAACAGTCATGCAGAGAGCCTGGTTTTAAAAACTAAAACGGAAACCTGCCGTCTGATTTTCTTCTGGTTGGTAGAGTCCAGTCACTGGAGCTGGGAAAGGGAGGCCAGAAACAGGACTTGGGAAATCGTCTCAGTCACTTTTTTATACCGTAGCCATGTTCTTCTCTGGACCTTCACTATCAGAGTAATGTGACGTTCACAGGACATGCGTTTCCTCTCATTTATGTACTTAAGAAAGCTAATGATCAACTGTGAAGCAAGTTACCAATTCAGGCAGGTCACATAATGCCTACCATTTAACTGATTTAACAGTTGGATGTAGGTTGTTCTGAGAAACGGAAATTGTTGGAAACCTTGATTCCTTCTCCGCTCAGCTCCCCAGAGTTGACCTTGAGTTACACAGCATGGCTTTCTGCAGTCCAGTCGCTGAGTTATGACAATACTACTTAGTGAAAGGTCTGCCAGGCTCTCTGACGGGAGGGCGGGCATTGTCTGCGTAGCCAGTCACTCACGGCGGCGCCAGCAGAAACAACATACAGTGAGCAGCCACCCTTATCCACAGTTTCACCCCCACGGCGTCAGTCACCAGGAGCAGCCATGACCTGAAAACTACTAGATGGGGAATTCCAGAAATACACAATTTTTAAGTTTTAAACTGCAGGCTGTTCTGAGCAGTGTGATGGAGCCGTGGGCCGTCTCACTCTACCCTACCCTTCCTGGGACGTGAATCGTCCCTTTGCCCAGTGTATTCACACCGCACATACGGCACAGGGAGGTGTTTTGAGAGACAGACAGACAGACCCACCGAGACCACATTCGTAATACCTTTTATTACACTCTAGTGCTCTAATGATCCTGTTTTATTATTGTTGTTGTTAACCTCACTGTGTTTAATTTGTAAGTTAAATTTTCATAGGTATGGAGGTACGCACAGGGGACAACAGTGTATAGGGGTGCGGTACCGTCTGTCTGTGTGTGGCTTCAGGCACCCACTGGGGATACTGCAGCAGGCCCCCTGCAGTCGAGGGAAGACTACTGTAATCAGAATTTATTAAAAACCTATGTTGTCTTTAAAAGCCCGATGGCTTGAGGCTTTTTTCTATTTCTTGCTCGCAGTGGCCCTTGTGTAACTCTTGGTGGTACACCAGGGATTCTTTTCTTTAAAGGCCTTTGGTAGAAGGTAATGCTGATATTGTTGTTAGTACATTTTATTTGCAAAAGCGACTTCTGATATGCTCTTAACAAGTCCCGGTGTTCAGTATTAATGAACGGAAGCCCTTGGGGCCTGTAAGTTGACGCACAGATTTTTCTAACTTGATGCGAGTGCCAGACTGAGGTGGAGGTGGGTCGCCAGTGCAAACGATGGCTGTGCCAAAGCGTATCTTCCAGTGCTAGCACCTCACTTGGGTGCCCGTTTCCCCGGTGTGGTCTGTAACAGCACCGAGGGGCAGCTGCAAGGGCGTCCGGGGTGTTGGCTCCTTCGTGCCTAAGTGCTGTTGAATCACCTACACACAGATCACCTACACACAGGTGACCCACGGGGTCAGTGACATACATTTGTAGAGTAAAAGTTAACTTGTGACAAAATCAAGTGTGCCGTGTGGTGCAATTGAGAGTACAAATTGGGCAGGTCTGAGTTTGTGTACAAACTGTGTCTTCTAGCAGCTCTCTGGCCTTGGGCCTTGACTTTTCTCACTTGTGAACTGGGGTCATGTTATCTGCAGTGTTGTGAGGATTACATTTGTATAAAGTATTCAGTAAGTCTTTTTTTTTCTTTTTTGCTCAGCTGTGTATTTCATGCTGAAACCGACTAAATGAATTAGACAAAAGTATCAAATTATCACTAGTGATTACTCGCCATTCCAAAAGAAACCCTTCTTTCCCCCTACCTAATCTGCAGTATAATTTAATACTATTGTCAGCAAATATGTTCCAGGTACCTATTGTTTTGACAACTCTCACATTCAAGTATCAGGGACTGTATAACACTGGTAATATTAAAAAGATGTATGTCGACAAAACATTTTTATCCTAAAATGGGCAACAGTGAAATGGGCAAGAACCAAGAAACATTAATATCTTGTATTTCTTTCTGTAGTACTTTAGATTTCAAGGTGATTTCACATCCATTCCCCTACTTGCTTTTTATGACACCCTGAGATGTAAATAGCGACAGTTTTATTCTCATCACTTTCCAGTTGAGAGAACTGAAACCCAGGGAAGTCATGATGGGAAATTTAACAATGAAACCAAGATAGCCCTTGCGGTAAAAACAGAAAATTTAAAAAGAGGGTTAGGTTTTGGAGCTGGATGTGTGAAGGCACATCCATTATCCATGAATACAGAGACGAGGCCGTGAGGGAAACTGTGTGGTCATCATGACTCGAAGGGAGCACGCGTGAAGGTCAAGTGACACCGTAGGCTGATGGGAGCCAGCGGGGAAGGGGGGCGGCAAGGCCGTGCTCGGAGGTGCGGCTCCACACGACCCCGCTTTAGGACCTCACCAACATGGCCACGGGGTCATGTCAGTAGTCCACGTGTAGTTACTTTTCCTCCAATACCACAGTTTCCTTTTTCTCCTTGCGCAGTTCATCTAAATGTGTGTCCCCCCCCCCGCTGTTAGAAGAGACGTTGGCGGTGTAAGAGGTCTTGATCCTCCATTGCAGTGGCCTCTGGCCGGCCTAACCCCTCCTTCTGTTTCCTTGTTGAATCCAAAGAACAGGCTGGACGTGCTGACATAGAAAACGCTAAACACGACAACAACCCATTAGGTTGCTGTCCGTTTCCGGCATAGTCCGTGAGTTTTCCCCTTGGAACAATTCCAACAGCCAAATCCACTCCACTTTTAAATGACTCATAAATTGGGCTTTCACTGGTTCCCTTGGGACAGTGTTGTGTAGACTAATAGATTTTAATGATAGGAAGATTTCCGGATATTCCTCAGCCTACTTTTCCTTTCTTATTCATCCACTTATTCACATCAATCTTTCTTCAGCTATTCTTAAACAATTCCTCGTGGGTTGACATGAGACATTTAAACTGTTACTTCCAGTGTATTTATATATATTAAAGTTATGTGTTCTTCACAGGTGTAAAGACATATTAAATTGCTATAATTGTTATGTCTAAGACTTAAAAGCTACTGGCTAGCTAGATGAGATACCACATTTTAAAATGTAGGAGGATAGCAATTGATAGGCTTCTGTGTTGTCTTATTTCTCATATCTGCTTAGCCTCGTAGCTTTCTAAAAAACTCTCCAAGATTGAATTGCGTGTTCTCACCTTTAAAACCCGGTTCCCATTCAGTCTCGATTCACCTGCCCCACAGGAGTCTATGGGAGGGAGGGGAGCTGGGAAGCAAATGGTAACTGCCCAATAGTGGGACAAAATGTGCCCACGTTCTGTTGGTGAAAGGGGTGGGTGCAGAAAGGGCTTGCTCCCAGATCTGCATGCTGTGCTCCCTGAGACGCCCCACCATGCCTTCGAGGTACTTGTGGAATCCAGCTGCTTGCCGGGTGGTGACTCCAAGCATTCCAGCTCTTTCCTCGGCCCTGCTGCCATTGACACGAAGGGTGGGAGGCCGGCCCAACCGAGGGGAGCAGTCTGAGTTCACTCCAGGGTAGAGTTCACGGGAAACGTTGCAGCTACCATCTAGTCACGACGACCTGGGCTTCGGTTCCCTCCTTGGGAAATGAAGGTTTGAGCAAGGTGATGCATGAGCACCTGCCAGCTGCTGCTCTGGGGCTGATCCTGCGTCCCTGTAAGAGGACAAGAGGCGGTGCACATGAGCACGCACGTTCCTGAGCTCGCTCAGAGTAAGGGCCATGGCCCTTCGGTACGAGCTGCACCCCTTCTCCGGGGACCTCCAGCGTTTGTGCCTCTGCCTCCTCGACATTGCTGTCAGCCTTAAACTTTCACTCTAGAAGAACGACTGCATTTCTGATCATTCTGCGTGTTGTCTGGCCTCCCACAGCTTCCTATCCTTTCCTTGAAATGCGTGTGCCTGTCAGCCCTGGGGAAGCCAAGGGGGCGGGTGGAAACAGTTTCCACGTTTCCTGAGGCTGGTGAAGTGGAAAAGCCTTTCTCACGCTGCCTGGCAGAACGTGGGCTGCCGGCTGATGAAGCGCAGTAGAACACGCAGGCCAAGTGACACTGGGCGGTGAGGGACCGTGTCGCTGAGCAGAATAGCATGCTTTTGCTGGGTGCGAAGGCTGCTTCACCATCGTCACCTGATGGCATGGGTCAGTCGTGCAGCGGGGCTGCTCATGCTCGGGGTGGCACGTGGGTGTCCCGTGACAGAGTCCGTGGCCTTGAGGGGCGCAGCCCTTCCCGTTTGGAGTCACATCAAAGCAAGCTGGATTCCAAGACTAAATTCCAAGACTGAAGCCAGACCCCGGACATGCCCAGAAGACCCAGGCCAGGTGGAGCCCGGGGTCAGATGACGGAGTCAGCCAGGAGTCACCAAACTGCAGCGGAGGTTGAAACTGACAAGTGGGCCGAGGTTCGGAGCCAAGCAAGCAGCTCGCTGAAGGAGCACGCACACGAGGGCCTCGTAGAAATGGGGCGAGCCCCGCTCCGGCCTGCCTGCCTCC